ACTAATGCACCAGCGTAGAAAGTCTGCGAATGGGAACATTTAATGAGAATGTTCTTTCTTAATGAAAACAAGGATGGAGCAGATCCGCGGATCAGGAAGCTACGAGGTTAGAAGGCAGCTTTAAAGACGTCGTTTCTATACGTCTGTGTCTCTAGCTCTGCTTTGCAAGGAAGTTCATCTGTACCATTTTTTCTAGGTTCCCACATATATGCGTTAATATATTTGTTTTTCTCTTTAGAGACGTCGTTTCTAAAGTTCGGCTTGGACGTTCCCTCATATGGAGAGGAGACCAAATTTCCGGGATGGTTTCCGTGGAGGAAAGAAGTTGCTCCCGGCCCTGCTGGACCAGATGCGGGCCGCGCGGGGCAGAGGCGAAGGCACCCTAAGCACGAGAGGACTCGGGCGCCGTACCGTGCGACGCCTTCGGTATACCAACCACCCGCAGAGCCCGCGGCAGCGAGCGCAGAAAGCGGCGTTGCGCGCGCGGGGACCGGGGGAGAGGGCAGGCAGCCTGGCGACAGCAGGAAACCTCGAGTAGGAAGCGGCGGGCTGGGGCCGCGCGGGGTGAAGCAGCGGCCAGACCCAAGAACCCGCCTGCAGCTGCGGAAGCAGCGCGGCGGGAGCGCCGGGGAGCCAGGCCGCTGGCGAGCGCTCTGCTGGGAAGAGGGCGCCGTCGGGCTTACTGGAAACGCGCCGGATCAAGTTCCAGATCAATGAAATCTGGGTCTACACGTTAACATTATTGTTGCCAGCATTAATGCTCTTTTAATCTTCTAAACATTATCAGCATCGATCTCCCTCCATATACACATTTGTTTGAGAAAGTGACATAACCACATGGTGGAAAGCCTGGAATAAAAATAAATGCGCAGCCTCTCGCATCGAGGGCGCCCGTGGACCCAGGCTACTTCTCGCCCGCGGGTTCACTAACCTCCCTCGCGTCCCGCCGGCTCGGCCCAGCTCCCGCCCACCCTAATGCGGGTTGGGAAGGTGTTCTCGAGGCACCGGGGACTTGACCAAGCAAGGATGGCAGTGAGCTTTTCAATTATTAATCCGACCAGCCAGCAGGAGAAAACATCTTGTGTTCCGTACCGACGTGGTACATTCGGCCTCTCCGGCTCGGATCCCGAACTAAACCTTCGGGAGAGACCGGCTGAGCCCGGCCGAGAGGCTGACCAGAGGGAGGGGTGGGAGTCGGGGTGCGGGCCTCTGCGGATGAGGTCCCCGCCCCCGTCCCTAGGCTTAGGGTGGCCTGAGGACGTCCCCTGGCGCCAAAAGGAGCCGCGCACGCACGTGGTGCCCCTGGCAGGCGCCGCAGCGTTGTGCCCTGGCCACGCTCCCCTGCCGCGGGCGTCAGGTGGCCCAGGCGACATCCCGTTGGGTTGGTTAAGGGCCCTCCGCTGCCTCAGCAAGAGGTGGCTCCGGACTGGTCGCTGGGAGCTGCTGCCTGGGGAGGGCCGGGCGTCTGTTCGCCGCGGGGACGCGAGGCAGGCTCGGGGCGGGCCGCCCCGGGAGCCCGGCTCACAGAAGGCGGAAACCTGGGCAGGGTGTGTCGTCGGAGGGTCTCTGCTCTGTCTTCCAGTTGTTGGAGGAAACCACTCCCGCCACCGGGGCCTCGATCGTCCTCCGCGAGGCGCCCATCCACTTTCTTGCCTGGGTTCTCTCGGTCCCTCCTGGTTCGTGTGTGCTTAGTTCAGAGGCCTCTTGAGGATTTGTGCTTGAACACGCTGGAGTTTGTCCTCGTCGCCTCTTGCCGGGTTAATAAAAACTGCTCTGCCGGTGCCAGACCCGGGGACCGCGGAAGAGACCCAAGCCCGCATGGTTGCAAACAGTTTCAGCCCTCGCCACCCTTTATGAACGAAGTCGTGCACTTGGAGCCCATTTCTCTGAAATCTACTGTTGAGGCAATCTGAGCTCCCCCATCTTCTCCCTTCCCTTTTGCTATGCTATCCCGGGCTGTGGATACACCGAGGCGGTCGGCGCCTCTGTTGTGACGGGGGTGTACTTCACCTAAGGGTGAGGTTGCCGACACTGGCCCAAATCAGGCATCTTAACTCTGCGGTTCCTCAAACCCCTATCTGCTTACCTCTGGCAAGACCCAAAACGGGAAAGAGAAAGCGAAATTAAAAGAGAGAGAGAGAGAGAGAGAGAGAGAGAGAGAGCGCGAGCTGGTCTCGATGAGATGGGGGGCTGGTCGGTCTCGGCGAGGTTCGGGCCTGGGATTCAGGCAGAGCTGCCCTGTAGAATCACTGGGATTGTTTAACCCCCAGAGCTCAACGGTGTGGGCCCTCGGCAGCGTCCTGGCGAGATTCCGATCCATACTCCTGGTGGAGAAGGGCTCAGCTTTTCTTCTCCATTTGCTCCTGTCCCCTAGCGCTCCAAGTACATAATACCAGTCCCAGCTTCTGCATCAGTGTCTGAAGAGACTGATCTACCGACCCCAAACTGAAAAGCTTCCTATGTAATAATAACCACTCAACACACTTGTAGTTGCTGATCGAATGGCCAGATAAAAAGGCCAAAGCTCTTGTCCCTTTTCAGCTCTGGGTAATAAAACAGACACACATTTGAATGCCTGAGCAAAGCGGGGTCCCTCGCAGGAAATTCCCAGTCGCTGAAGGAGGCTTTCAGACTCCCACTGAGCGGGCTTTCTTGCTCCTGCTCTGAAAATCCCCGATGCTGCCTGAGGCCAGCCCCTGAGTGGCCCCGGGACTCTCCCGTGGTGGGTGGTGGGACTGGGGTCCCCCAGGGATGCCACACTCTCCCCCATCCCAGCAATGCTGTTGCAAAAATGCTTGAGACCGGCTAGCCAGGAAAGCATTACTTTCCAAATCACTTATACATTGGCAGAGGGCACGTGTTTTAAAAATCTCTGTCTTTTTCGGGACAGGCGTGAGGGGGCGGCAGCGCTCTGAGATCAGCCTGACTAGAATAGCTGTCATCCTGCCTTTACCTTACCCTGGTCCCCCCTCCCCAAGACCAGCTGCCAAGTTTCTTCTGGCTGCCTGTGCCCAAGAAGCCAGCCCTTGCTAAAGCTCACCCGTGAGGGACTAAAGGCCTTTTCAGGGGCCTAAGATAAAGGGGTACCACGCTGTTTGGAATTGTCAGTAAGCTTCCAGTTTTTCACGGATAATCTCTATTCACTGCTTAATCTTTGCGAGGAACCAAGAGCAATCGGAGAAAATTGTAGGAGAGGATGAAGAGTAAAAAGCTAAATGAGGAGAAAGATAAAGTAGGTTTCTAAATCCATGCAGAACTATTTGGAGTCCACCGATGTGAGGAAGCCCTTGGCGGAGGGACTAGTTTCTTTACCTTTTCAGATCAACACTGCTGGGAGATTACTGACTGGAGATCCGAATCCTCCAACAGCGGGCAAAGGCAGAGGCTGTCAGAGTGGAAACGCCCCCTCCCCAAGCCTGGGCGAACACGTTGCCTGTCACACCCCCCAGCCCTGTCCGGCGTAAGTAGAGTGCACCCTACAAGCCAGGCTCAGCGGTGCGAGGATAGCCCCGGGGAGCCAGAGAGGAAGCCTGAGCTCACAGCTCCGGAAGCGCGTTGTGTGCGGCTCGGAACCGCGCGCTACCCACTACCCGCACCTATGTAAATCACTGCCACCACGAATTGTCCGCCAGATAATCCGACGATCGGGAGAGACAGCCTCAATCCAAAAGAAGCTGCCCATCTCGGCCTGCGTCCGGGTACCGTGCGTCCTCCCCAGTGGGGCGCCTGGACACTTTGCCCCTCTTGGCCCGTGGCAGGGTCCTGGGGGCAGCGCAATTGCCACGCGCACCGCGCTGGCTCTGTGCGCACTAAAGCGCGCAACTGTGTGCCAGTCGCAGCCACGGCTGCGCCTTTCTCTCTGGTTCCCGCCGCCCACGCAGGAGGTTTCTGCGCTCCTAGAACAATAGAGGGCTGTACCTCGCGGCTCTGCCGCTAGAGGAGGCACAAAGAGCCAAGCCGGCTACAGAACAATGTAACCAATGCGTCGACCCGTCCTCTCCCGCCGGCCGCAAGCCCTCCCCGTCGCCGAGCTACGCGCACAATCAGCGTCCGCTTAATGCAAAGGCGGAGCCTGTAGCCCGCGGCCAAGATGCGTTAACTAACCTGCATCTTAATTTTTCTGCACCTCTTCCCGCGAGCTCCCAGTCTCTCCCGGAGGCCCCAAACCTCGGCAAATCCTGGCAGACGCTGGGAGCCGGGCAAGGGCGGCCGGCGAGTGAGGCAGGACGCTCTCTACTCTTAGTTGCTCCTCTCCCGTCCTCCCAGAGAGGATGTGGCAGTCCCAACCTTCGTCCTTGTACCCTCCCCTCACTGTGGGCAGTGACAAGGGAGCTGGCCCCAGCCTGCTCTTTCGATCATAAAGTCCCCGTGCCAATGTCAAGGCTGGAAACGGGCTCGGGAAGCGCTGTTGTACCCTGGTCACCCGTTCTCCGCGTGGGCAAGGCTGTGACTCTTGTCAGTGACCAAACAAGTTTGCCTCCCGCTCCCCCACCCCAGCCCACCAACTGCCTCCGTATAGGGAGACCAGGCAGCTTGGAAAACGGAAACGTATTGCCTAAGCAAGCTTGGAAATGTATTGTCTAAGCAAGAGTTCAAGTGCACAGGGTTTCCAATAAAGGCAATCCCCCTTTCCTGTGAGTCCTGGAAAGAGAGGGCTCCTAGCGGACACGGTGCACCCCCATCGCGACTCCCACAACTGGGTAAGGTCGGAAGGAGAGGGCAGAGTTGGCACGTTGACCAAAGTGCGAATAAAATGCGGGTGGGGGTCGGTCAGGAAGCCCAGGAAACGAGGAGGGAGGAAGGAAGAGAAGAGAAAGGGAGAACAGAAAGAAGAGGAGAGGAGAAAGAGGAAACAGAAGAAGAAATAAAGTAGAGAAGAAATAGGAAGTGTGGAGAGGAGGCGAGAACCCAGAGATGTGGCTAAGCGCCCTCACCCGGGGCCACAGGCACCCCGGAGCCCTCTCTCAGCACCCTGGCTCCAGGAGACCCTCTGGGCTTACCTGCCAGGCGTAAGGCAGACATGCGCTGGAACTCGGGCTCCTGCAGCCACTTCCACATCCTGCGGAAGGTCTCCCTGCCAGATTTGAGTTTACTCCACGGTTTGGGGTTCCGGAGCAGGTCGGAGAGAGTCCCCTGAGACCGGCACAGCACCCTCTGCGCGAAGATCGCTTGTGGGATGCTGTAGCGCTTCAGCTCGGCGGTGATACGCTGGGCCACCTCTTTGGTGTTGATCTCCTCCAGCTGGCCTGATGTGGCCACCTGCGATCCCGAAGAGGACGAGGGTGGCCTCTCACGGCTAGGCGCCAGCACCGGCCCATGGGACTGAGCGTGGCCCGGGTGGTGTAGGCCGTTGAGGTGAGACATCATGGCCGCGGGCGGGGTGCCCAGACCGCGGGACAGGTGTTGCTCACCGCGGGTCAGCATGGCAGTGTGGTGCGCGTCGAAGTTGGGGCTGAGCATTTTGTCGTGGCCCGGGGGCCCGTAGCTGGGCAGGCTCTGCTGCGCGTTGTGGAGGCCGCCCAGCCCGTTGCCCAGCGGTGTGGCGGCCAGCGGGGACAGGCTCTGGCTCATGCCGGGCATCTCCTTGTAGGGGCTGTAGAGGTTGTTCATGGTCGGGAGCCCTCGCTCGTCGCGCATGAGGGTGAAGCTGCCGCTGACGTTGCCCGACAGGCGCTGGTGGTGGTGGTGGTGGTGGTGGTGGTGGTGGTGGGGGTGCGGGTGCGGGTGGTGGAACTTGTCCGACACGGTGGAGATGGGCGGCAGCGGCTGGAGAGGCGTCAGCGTGGTGTAGGTGTTGCTCATGCCCATGCCGGGCGGGGACGAGTCGCAGGACATGCTCATGGCATGATGGAGCGGGATGGAGAGCTCAGGCCGGTAGTCGCCGCCGTCCAGGATCGAGGCCATGCTAGTGACCATGGCCGAGCGCGACGCCGCTGCTGCCGCCGCTGCCGCCGTGCCCAGCTCCTGGTGCGCCGTTGGCGGCGGCGGCGGCGGAGGCGGCGGGCCCCGCAGCGAGCCAGCGGCGCCGCGGCCCGCGTGGTGAGGGCTGGTGCTGGCCAGCAGCTCCTGCTCATGGCCCGGGCCCCCGCCGCCGCCCCCGCCGCCCCCGCCGCCGCCCCCACCGCTGCCGCCGCCGGCCGGCCCGTGCAAAGTGCCCAGACTTTCCATTGTCAGCTCCGGGTTCATGGCGCAGCCTTCTAGGTCTTTGGTGAGGCATCGATAGGCGGTGTAGGCAGCCTTCATTCAGTCCATCGGGGCCCGGGGGCGGCGGGGGCGGCGGGGGTGGCCGGCGGGCTGGCAAGGCGCGCGTGGCGGAGCTCTGCCGCGGGAGCAAGGGACGGCGCGGGAGTGCGTGAGCGTGTGGAGGGGGAGCGTGCGTGCGGGTGTGCGCCCCGGGCTGCGGGAGGGCGGGCGCGCCCGGGGTGGGGGTGGGGTGGGGTGGGGTGGGGGCAGACGCGGCGTGTGTGCGGGAGACGGGAGGGGGCGGGGAAGGAGGGAGGGATCACCGAGTCCCGCCGCTCGGGGCTGCGCGCTGCCTAGCCATGTCCGAGCCCGCTCCGGTGCCGACGTCTTCTGTTTGGGTGAGCGGGAGCTGTCCAGAAGGGCTCTGCCGCTCGCCGGGGCAGCCAACCTACCTTCCCGGACCCGGGGCGGGGCAGTGCCCGATGGGCGCCGCGAGCAGCCACTGCGTGGCCGCGACTGCCCCGGGAGGCGGGCCTCCTGCGCACAGCTGCCAATGGCTGAGGAGCGGGCGGGGCCGCGCGTTTCACGTTTGGCTGACGGCTCTGTGCTTTTTTTTTTTTTTTTTTCCTCCTTTGCCACTGGAATCAAACGTCAAGGAGAGGAAGAGAGGGAGGGGAGGAGAGGGTAGTGGGGAGAGAGGCGAGAGAGCGAGTGAGGGAGAGAAATTACGTTAAAGATAACGCTCTGTGTCTCTCCGGAGCTGCTGCGACCTGGGCTAAAGGGCTTTTGCTTCAGTTCCCCTTGCTTCACCCCAAAGCTTTTATCGAGGCAAGCCAGGAGGGAAAACTCCAGCTACGTGCTGGTGTAAAAACAATCCCACGTCTCCTAACAAGCCACTTCCCAAGCGTCCCTAGCTGGGAGCCAGTAGTTTAGCCTTTAAAAATGCGGGCGCTAATGTATTCTAATGTAGGGTAAATTCCCGAGACTGGGGAGTGCGGAATCTACGGGGCGAAGGAACTCCAGCGCCCTCGCTGCCTGCTAGCTGCGGCTGGCGGACGCAAGCCCACCCGCGGCGCGGGCCGCAGTAATGCCTGCAAAGTTAACACAATAACATCATTTAATTACCCGGCGAGCCCATAAATCTCTCAGTTATGAGCCTTCAAAAGGGCCCCTGCTAGATTGCAAAACAAAACTAGAACACCAGGAGCTACGGTTTCAAGGTGACCAAATGCTTGCTGCGCGAGCGAGTTGGAAAGGAGTGGTGGGAGGGGGCGGGGGCTGGAGGGGGGTAGTGTACAGCAGGGTTGTTGCCGATGCCTTAGTTAGCAAACTTCTCCTGGGAGTAGGGAGTATGTAAACGTCCGGGACGTTACTCGCGGATCTTCCCCCTAACACACACACACACACACACACACACACACACACACACACACACACACACGTCTCTCGAATCCCGGGAGAGGAACGCCCTGGGTTACGGCTGTGGATAGATGACATGGAGCCCATATCTGTATATCCAAACCTTGTTTCTGAAAAGACCAGAGCCCTGTTGAGTTCTAGAACGCTCGCAAGCCGCAGCTTTGAAAAGTGTACCTTCATCTACCCAGGATTGCCGTTGTTTAGTAACCCCTGGTCGGCGACTGGGAATGGAGCGGGGTTGTAGAGAGAAGGTGGAGATTTCTGCGGCCCGGGTTGGGGTGGAGGGGGTAGTTGAAGGCAGAGAGCCACTCGGCATTGAAAACCTTACAAGAAACAGATTCTTCCGAAGCAGGTTGCGTTCTGTTTGCCTGCGAAGATTCAAGCTAGCTGAGGTTGCGCAGATGTTGCCTTTGTTTAAAGAGACAGTAATTAAGGACAGGGTGGACATAAGTTGGAGAAGCGTGACCTATTTTCTTTTGATCAGCTGTCAAAAGAAGAGCAGGGGGTCTCCTTAAGACAGCCCCCTCCAACAACTTCCAGCTGTTAGAGAAAACTTGATAAGAAAACAAGGACACAGTCTGGAATACTGTATGTGCCTCCCTGGCGCTAGAGAAAGGTTTTATTCATTTGGAAAACAGTTCTTAGTCTTGGTGACCTTTTACGGCTGCCCTCCTCTCTCTTCTAGCTACAGAGCAAAAAAATCCACCCCCTCCCACATCATGCTGTCACATGAACGTACAGTGACACTATTTCTAGATCAACTTTATTGAATTCTGGCCAATACCTTGCCAATTATTCTTTCAAATAGCCTCTTCTTGTGATATCAAAGCCTGAGTAAGAAAGTGGATGATCCCCTGCTTTGCTAGACATACTTTTCTAGATGCTCACATCTTTTAATGTCACAGTACTAGACAGGTAAAATCTCTCAGTTTTCTGTTTCTCTGACTTTCCTCTCTCCCTCACCTCCCCTACCATCTCTCTTCACCCTCCCCACCTTGTATATGGCAGCTGGACATTTGGGATAATTTGAAAGTTAATGTTTGAAATACACACCGAGTTGAACAAAAGTTCACAAGAGTGCAATCCCGTTGGTCCAGGCGTGCTCAGACACTGAAATAAGGCAGGAGAGGAGCAAGACAGGGGAAAAATCTGTTTGATGTGCCCCAGTGCCGAAGGCAGCCTCCTCTGCCCTGGCTTCAGGCTCAAGCAGTGGCCAGTGACCCCAGGCTGGGACATCTGGTAGGCACTGCCTCCGTTCAGAAACCTAGGCATATAAATTGCCATTTAAATAAAATTTCAAAATTATAAACTCATTTCCCAGGCTACCAGGATAAATCTGCTCCTGGGTATTCCACCTCGGTGTGCCTGGGAGCAGTCACGTGCTGGGGAGTTGAAAGGTGAGTTGCATATTCTTGCTGCCTCGCTCCTTCCTCCCTCCCTCCTCCCCTCCCCTTCCCTCGATCAATATTGGCGATCTCAGGGAAATCATGAAATCGCATTGGCTTCTTTGTGTATAATTTCATTGGGCTAGATTAAAGCAGACTTTTCACGTTGTTTTTCTGATAGCGGTTTGAGGTTTTATATTTCATCCCAAAACCCATTGAAAAGAAAAATTAATGTGCTTGTTTACTCAGCATCCTAATTTTTACTGAATTAAGTTTGCATGTTTTCTCCCTTTCTTTTTAAACCGGAAAAATAGTATCTACTTGAAGATAATTTTAAGAATATCAGTACTAATACAATTTTCAAATATGTTTTGAAATATCTTTGATTTTTTTCTCTATAGTTCTTCGAGAAAATAAAAAGGAAGAGTTGCTTTCTAACCACCCCTTGTTAAGCACACATGTTCTAACCTTCGGAAGTTCTACGACTCAAAATTTTTTCTTTTAATTTGAAGTTACACTCCTGTTCCCCCTGACCGTATAGAAATGTGGCAGCAGAAGTGCTACTTCACGACTGTTAGAATCTGGACAAACAGTTGCACCAGCCATTATATCAGGAGCAGGATATCCATTACTTAGAATACCCCATTCGCAGGGCCGATTTTCTTCAAGACCAAACACTTAAATGATTCAAAAGAAGCCTGTAAATAAAATGCAGCTTTGACAACAAATATAAGCTATTGTACTGTAAAAGAAAAAAAATGGAAGTTGAGCAAGTGCAGAAAAAGACTGGAAAATTTTACTGGACTTTTCATATGTTTTTTTACATTAAAAAAATTTTAAGGGTCTGAGAGGGAGAGAGACATGAACATTCAATTAAAACAGAGACCCTATAAATTATTCACGAAAAAAAATAAACACACCACAAGTAAACCCAATCTGGATAAGGGGTCCAACAGCTCTGTTTTTAGTAAACAACTGTAACCACAGCCCAAACCCTGGGTAGAACGGGGGCTGCTTATTTCCACCCAAACGTTCAAAATCCTGAAGAAGGTTTTGTGTTGGGCAGAACGGATTTGCGCTACAACTAGGTTTATCAGAGCAATACAAAGAAACATAATGGTGGGCTGACTTGGACTATTTTATTTTTGTCCTTCCCCAAACCATCTGGCGTGTGAGTGTAGGGGTATTGATCAGGATCTGTGAGCTGCAGACCCCATGCCAATCCATAGCGTTTCTGGCAATCAGCGTCGCCCATGAATTGCAGCTGTCTGTGCAGCTCCTGAACAGAAATCTTCGAAAAAGTCCCCCACTTATCAAACACATCATCCGTTCAGGGGTAAGTCAATGTCATTTCTTTGTCATTCCATGAGCAGGGATTATGCAGGAGAAAGTTTTTGTTGTCTGTTGTATCTGCTGCTGTGCCTTTTTTTTTTTTTTTAAAGGAAGGAGAGCAATTTTCTAGCCATTGAATGGTAATGGTTTTCCAGAAAGGCCTCAAGCGTTTGTAGGAATCTGACGACAAATGCTGTTTTAATATTGTGGGGGAATTTTAAGAGGAGGGGGACATTCTTATGTTGCTATACACAAACAATAATAGTGATAATAGAGGGTTCCTTTTAATGACAGAGGATTTTCTCCCCTTTTCTCGCAGCCTCTGGTGATGAAGACGCCGCAAGTCTGTGATTACACTTGCAGATGGACGGTGGGTGCTAGTGGCGGAAAAGGCGTCTTCGGAATTGTGGCTCTGTTTGATATCTCCATTAGGTGCAGTTTTCTTCTGCCTGAAAGCTCGGGCTGGTTGAGCACAGGGAGAAGAAAACCAAAACCGATGCCTAGCCCCACTAACTCCCTTCGGCCTCTGAGCTCAGAAATTCACTGATACTTCTGAGTTTCCAGGTGAATCTAGGAAAGTCTGAAACAAAGTTTTCTAGGTGTTGAGGCCGAACCGGTCCTTTTTCGTCTGCTTCTGGCTCTGCGTGGATGTTGTTAATATCGAAAAGGCCAAGTTAGAAGAGCTGGCGGGGGACTGCCCTGAACTTTTGGGTGGACAGACAGACACTGCGCCAGGGTCGGGGGAGAGTTGGAGTTTGTTAGTGTTCTTCCCACCCTCAGCTAGCCTCTTAGGAAAAGAAAAACGAAGCTCCCGGAGCCCTCCCTGCCGGGGGAGCGTTTTCTCGGAGCCCTAAGCCCTGGTGCCTGGATTCGAAGGTGGGGAGTAGGGTCGCGGGGAGAACCCAGCGGGATGCCGGAGCCTGGGCTTAACCCACCTAGCCTCAGTAGTCCAGGCGCGG